TGGATTTCTAGATACCTGCTTGCAGGTAAATACTTCTTTTTCTCAGAAACCATTTTTTTAATTGGTTTATCTCAGGGAATCCTGGATAGCATGGGATTGGACAAGGGAAAACAGTCTTTGGTGGTATGAAAATCAATTGAGCTCCCCCACTTCAATTACTCTGTTTGTGGTTGCTTTTTTAGTTGAAGATTGTTCTGGCAGAAGGTTAGGAATGAAAAGTAATAAGAATTAAAATTGGAATATGCACTCAAAATACATGTGTTACATTTAAATGCATTATATGTCAGTTGCTATTTTTCTTTGGTTTTTTTCATCCTTGTTAAGAGTCAAGTTCTAAGTTGAATATTTAGCTGTGAATACAGGTATGCTCTAGAATCTATCTACAGTAGAATCAGGTAGCACTGTTGGTGTTTTACTTTTAGAGAGGTATGGATTTAAAAATAACTCATATTTTCTATCATAACTAGCTGTTGTCATTCAGACTCCAAAAGGACATTGTGCAGACTGCAGAATGCAGCTGGTGACCCTCATGGCATATGGTTGCCTTTTTGTGAACTATTTGCCTTAAACTTCTGTTTGTCCTATGTCTGAAAATAATATAAGAATCTAATCTAGATTAGCTCTAGATAGGTATAATCTAGAAGTCACGAGATGAAAGAAAGTGAATTTATTTTGTTAGTTTTGTTTTTTCCTTTTTTTTTTCCTTTATTTTGGAGGACTGTATGAGAATATGACTAGCAATGCTTTTTGTTAAACATGCCATGGTTCAAGAACCATGAGGATTAATAAAGTTGAAAAAATATAGAGAAAAATTTAAGAAAGCTTAATTAAGAGAAGGTATAAAATGTTACTGGAGCATTTTTAGTGGTGAAAATTTATCATTAAATTCCTGCTAGAAATGAAAACAGGAGTTGGAAAGAGAGGAGAAGTTGAAAGTGTGGTAAGTCAACCTCAACTGTCTGGTGAGGGAAAGGAAATTATGAAAGGGAGAAGATATGTTTCAAAATGTTGAAGTAGCAATTCTGAGAAGAAGAACTTTAAAGAAATGATATTTGCGCATTTAATTTTTAATAAAATAATTTAATTACTAAATTAATTTAGTTTCTGCAGAAGATGTCAGGATTTCTTCAAATAATGTCAGTACTTTCAGTACTTCAATTTTTCATCCATTTATATTAATTTTAACTTTTTTCTCCTTGTGTTGTATTGGAAGTGGACTACTGTGCAGTGATAAAGAATGCAATGAAGAAAGCACAGAATTTAGTATTTATTTGTTACCATGATCCTTTTTGATAGTAGAAATCAAATGCCCCTTTGTTGCATTACTAGATGGGCACCTTTAATATTGTCGTGCATAGATTTGAATTTTCCCATGAAGTGCTTCAGCACCCAGTGTGTTGTTGCATTCCTGTATTAGCAGCAACATTGAAGGATATGTCTTTTTTGTGTTTTTCCTGGATTGTTTTTACTCCAGTTTGAGTTAACTTCTTCACGTGAAATAAAACCCACTCTTACTTACATTTCACAAGCCTGTATAGAGGCAGCTATGCAATACTGATTTAGTAGTGCAGTCTGATTGATTTTAAAATGCACAGTTAGGGGTTGGTTTTTCCACCTTTCTTTTACCTTGGCTCCCAAAATATGAAAATTTGGAAAGCACTTAAGGAAATAATAATATGTACAGCTTTTGTTACATAGTTCTCTTTACTTGCTTTTTATTTAGCAGACTAAAAAATATGTCACTAAAGACTGGAATTTCAGTGATGATATCTGTAGTATCAAACAGTATGTAAGTTCTGGTAATTGTATCCTAACTCACTTTTTTTTTTTGGGAATCAGACTCCTAGCATTGAGGAGTTGCTTTTGTTACCACTTTGACTGTCTCCATACAGTACTGTATTGTCTAAACTCACAATGGGTAAAAACAAGGTTTTAATTTAAAATCTTTTATTTTAAATTAAACGAAGTATGGACAGATAATTCTAACATCCTACTTACATGAAAAAATTGAAGTGTTCAGCGCTAAGACAAGAAAGAGCTATTGTCACCTTTTGGTTTTGATCTGTTGTCTTCATAGCAGATTTTTTCAGTTTGACTTGGTATGTGATTTTGCTTTCTCTTCAGATTGCTATGAAGATATTTAAAAAAGAAATAGTATTTGACAGTAAACAATGTATTATGGAACAAAAAAATTTTTATTGTGCTGTAGGTAAAGAGATGCCATGGGAAAGGATGAAAATTAATTCAGGAATGACAGTCCTCTGAGACATCAAAAGGTCTGCTTCACCAGGTCACAATGTTTCTTTCTATGTACTGTTGCCTGGAGCACTCTGGGATCCAGCAGTATACAGGGGATACTCTTTGGTTCTTCCCAGAATCAAAGAAGGGTAAAAGCAGTTCCTTTTGGTTTTTATTGTAGCAAATTCACTGTAGAATTTTCTTTCTTGAAAGTTTGTTGAAGTGTGCTTTAGATGCCTTAGTTACATGATGTTTTTTATGGTTCTTGACCACCAAGCTGTCAAACATTGCTTTTGCCCTGTTGTATTCAAACAAGTATGACTGAGTCAACTCAAAGTGTAAGTTGAGATTGTTCTTGTGTAGTGTCAGACTGTCTTTATAGTATCTAGCCAAAAATCAGTAGAAACTATGGGAATAGAGTAATTCCTGATGGGTTTTTTACCTAGTGAAATCTGTCAAAATAACCTCAAGTAGGAGGTTGTCCTGTGTGTTGATCAGGTGTGTTTTTTTCCTCTGCTGTTTTACTTGCCTACTAGAATAGGGTAATCTTTTAGGAACACTGTGTTCTCTGCACTAAGAAATCAATCTTTACTCTCCTGTTAGATGAATATATAGGTTGGGGAAGCAAAGTACGAAAAGAGCTGCATAGGAAAGGGCAGATGATAATTTACTTAATTGTCTATATCTCAGAAATTCCTTTATGTAATCCTTATTTCTACCCAGTCATGGCTCCTGAGTGATACTTGTTTTTTTCCCCCTTCTTTATAAGCCTGTGAAATAAGCAGATAGGAGAGTAAAAGTTCAATTCCTTTAGAGGAAAAGATAAGAGCACGCAAAGTGGTAACCCAGAAAAATGCTTTGACACATAACAGGGTTTTTTTTTCCATGCAAGTGTAACTCACCTAGACAATGTTTCACTAGTGCTGCAGTAGATGACTTTGTAGACTACTCCGGTGAGTTTCCTAATGATTCCTGTGGTATATTTGCTTTTTGATTGGTTTCAAGTGTTAAATTACTGTTCAGTTGTGGAGATAAGTAATTAGTGTGCAAGTCTGATTCAGGATAATCTGTCTGACTATTCTGAATATTCACAGTAAGTAGTTTATTTCAGTTGGAAACTTAATTTGTGCAGTACAGAACAAACATTTGAAATAGCTAGTTGCACTTTTGTACCATCCTTTCTCCATTCATTCTCCAAATTGCTGGAAAACATCCCATTTAAGACAGAACCCAAATATCTCTGATTTCACTTCACAAATACACATATGCTTCCCAGTTTCTGCTCAGTGCATAATGAAACTGGTACATTAGTGTGATGTACCTGTGTACTCAGAAATTAGATGTATTAAAGAGCTGGAGCTTTTATAAAAAATGTGTGCGTGTGAATTTTTAGCTCAGCCAAGAGTGTCTTTCATATAGGTGAGATTTTTAATGATATTTTAAGGGTGTCTCCAAGTACAGACTTTTGTTTTGATAAATGTTAAGTAAATAGTAATGAGCTAGAAGGAAGACTCAAAGGAGCTGCTTCCTCCAATTCCATGAGGACCTGGGGAGTGGGAGAGTAACAAACAAAATGACTGATGCTTTCCTTAGTAATGTGGATACATACCTTTTTAAAGATTCAGCTAAATCATTTCTACCAGCACCAGTTTATTACTGTAAGTGTAATAATATATCCAAAGAGCAAATGTTTTGTCTTTTGAATAGTAAAATGCAACTTCAAATGTACTGTTTTGCATGTTTTTGCTCAGCATATTTTCGTTCTTTTTTTATGTCTGACGTCCTTATGAACCAGATGTAAGCTTTAGACACTGAAAACTCACATATATCATCAGATGTATTGAAGAATAATCTAGAAGATTTTTGTCTTGTTGATGATTTTTTATGTTTCTGTACACACTTCATTTTAGCTAATGAATTAAAAGCAAAACAGTTAAACTTCAGCTCCGACATGAAAGTTTTATCAGTTTCGTACCACAGTTATGGTGTCACTGCTAGGAAAATATTATAGATTAAAGCCCTTTTGATTTAGAAAGAGATGGGACAAAACAGAATGTGGAATTAAAGCAGAGAATGTGGAGAAAAACACAGAGTTCTAATAGGCATTGAAGAGTGAGGTTGTTTAATGCAAGTGTCATGAGAATCAAATGAAATTATTGCAGAAACTTGAAGTTCTTGTTTTATGGCAGTGAGATTTTTCTATATGCGAGTGAACTAACCCATAGTATGTGGTGAGTAATGTTGTCTTATTTTCCTTGAGCTGCAAATTCAGCCAGACTTAATTATCTTTTAAAGTATTTTGTAGCGTAATCATTTTGGTAGCCTCACTCAACAGTAATTTCTGTTTACTATGACAAATTCTGGAAATTCTGCAGAATTTTGAATTCAGCTCTGGCTTGTTTTTTGGTGTGCTATAAGTGCAAGTTAAAGAGTATTCTAATCCATTCTTAATCCATTAACGCAGGTACAACTTCTGTAAATGACTGTTTTTGAATAAGCTTCTCTGAGTAATTTCTGTTCAGTTCTGCATTTATAGGCTTCTTCAATAGCAGCAGGGTATTTGGTTCGTCATTTGCATTACTGTGTCTTATAGTCATTCAGCCTTGAGTTTGATTAAAGTGCTAATGGAATTAAAATAATGCTGTAAAAACTGCTTATGTCAGATAGTTACATTTCATAGGCCTAAAACACAGAGCATGCATGCTCTTTTGCACTTGCTTTTTGTCTATGAACAGGTTTTGTTTTTTTTTTTTTTTTAATAGAGGCTCACAGGACAGCAGCAGGAGATAAACAGCTTAATGCAGAGAAAAAGTGCTGTGGATGAGGAAAATGCCCGTTTGAAGAATGAATTTGGTAACTTGAACCGGAAATTTAAAGATAAAAGCCAAGAACTTAAGGTATATTGACTTGTACATAGTTTTATAAGACTGTAGCTTTGAAGTAGTTCTTTAAGCAGTGTCAGCCTTTGTGGCACAGAAAGTGACAAGCTTGGAGAAAAAATTGCCTTAGGCCTTGCTATACCTTACTGTTTTCTCACATACTAACTGAGAAAGATGCTTTAAAGCCAAGAATCCAAGCTTTATAACTTTCAGATAAATAGTTAATGATGGAAATGGAGCAAAGAAAGTAGAAGTGTGAAGATGTGGCTTCTTGTAATTAGATTCTGATGGGACTGGCATTATTAATTGATAAAGCTGAGGTCTGGGAGGATATGTCTGTGTGGGTCTCAAAAATAGCTGGGGACAGCATCAAAGGCAGCTTGATCAATTAATGGGCTCTTTGCAAATGTGTACTCATCAAAGCTGTCATCTAGCTAAAAAATATGACCCTTCCACCTGCATGAAAGAGGCCAATAAAAGTGCACAGGTGACCTTGGCCATCAAATATAGAAGCTGCTGTGAGGGTAAAACTGCACAGTTTATATTTGCTGATTAGTTCTCACTTTTTTGTTTATCGGCCCTTGTGGTACTGTTCTACAGGACACTGAGGAGTGTGCACAGAAGAAGAAAGAGCAAAACAGACTGGTTATAAAAAACCTGGAGGAGGAAAACAAGGGATTAAATATATGCTGTGCCGACCTGCTAAGTGACCTGGAGAAACTGAGGAAGCAGGAAGCACAATGGAAAAAAGAAAAATCTGGCAATGATACCAGAATAAAGGTACAAAGTGGAACGGACTCCTGGATGTTATTTGAGAATTAACTTCTCCAGACATTTCACTGCAAGTTATTTCCTTTAAATAGCAAGTTATATATTCAAATCTACCAGTGGGGACTTGCATTCATTTACATTCTATCACTTAAGACCCACAGCTTTTTAAAAATTGATGCTGCAAAGCAGGAATCTGACTTCAAATAGTCATCTTAAAATGTAATCATTAAAAAATAAAGGATGCTGTACTTTGAGATTATATATATATATATATATATATATATATATATATATATGTATATATGTGTGTGTGTGTGAAAAAATAAAAGCTTAAAAATATTACCACAATTTTTTTCTTGATTTTTAATTTACTTACATATAATCTTGTTGCAGTAGACTTAATCTTTGTTGGTATGAAAGAACATGTAGTTCCAAATAAATTGTGCCCTAGCCTCCAAAGGTCTCTATTCTATGAGGGGTATTATTATTGCTTCTACTATATTAAAAAGTTATTTTCATAGTTTATGATAAAGCAGAAAAGAAAATAACTGAATACATAGTGCAGATCTTTTCTCTTTTATTTAAATCGTACTTTTTCTTGTTTCCTGGTGGAAATTGGCTTGTGTTTTTTAAATTCCTCCAAGAAATGAGCCATAAACATGGCAAATCTTAATTCAACAGCTGCTTATACACACATCTAGGTAGTGGATTCTTTTTGTTTGCATGATAAATGTACTCTTAGAATGATGTGTTCTTTTGCATTATTGAAGTACATTCATTGCAATAACTATCTAATTAACACCTCACCCAGAAATGCCCTTTTTTTCCCACACTAGCAATTCTTGGATTGTTGTGGTGATGGAAACTCTTTTGAAAAAGCCTAATTCAGATCTCTTAACATGGGAAGTAAAGTTCTTGCAAATTGACTTCTTCAGACTGGTTATGATGAAAGGATTATAGAGTTCCTAGGACAAGAAATGATTTGTTGAAAAATCATTTGTAGAAATTTGTAGAAAAATCTAGTGAGTGCCAAGCTGATAAAATAATTTTTAAGTTGCCAAACGTAGTGCTTGTAATATTGGACAAGTTGTTGAAAATCTGTTACCTGTCCCTTCAATGAACACAGTCAGAATATCTCCTCTGTCTTTGTCTTCCTGGCTGATGAGGCATGCTGATGAATGAAAGATCTGGGCAATTGTAGGGATGGGAATTAGTAGTGTTGGTATTTCAAAAAGGTGTTACAAGCCAGTTAAGTTGGTGTCTAGAGTGTGAAAGAGAGTATTTCTGGGGATGGGTGTTGCCTGAGACAGCAAGGGATGTCACAGAGTTGGATTTGCTGTTTGCAAACTAGGAAGAACTTGTTGAGATAATAAGAAATTGCAGTCTTGGCTGTAATGACCATGAAGTTGCCAAGGCCAACACCTTGAGACAGTGATGGAAGGAAAGAAGCGCTGTACAGCTCTGCAGTTTAGAAGCAGAGTCTTCAGATGTTTAGGGAACTTGTAGGTGGAATCATGTGAGAAGCAGTTTTGAAGGGTAAAGAGCTCAGGAAAAGCTACGATGTCTTTAAAGACAGCTTTCTACAAACCCAAGTATGGTCCACTTTGGAAAAACAATGGATGTCTCAGGAGATCAACTTGGCTAAACAGATCTCACCACTAGATTCTGCTGTAAGCTGCAGATGGAAAAGAGTATTCAGGAAGTGAAAACAGTGAAAAAAGTGAAAGCTGTAGAGGGAGAGTTCAGAAACATTGTCTGGACACTGAAGGGTGCTGGTAACCTATGTGCAATTGAAAGTTGCAAGTAATGACTGATACAATCAGAATTTCTTGGAACTGCTTTATTGGTGAAAAACTGACCAAGGAAAATGGGGACCTGCTGCTGAAATGGAATGATGAATTAATTACAAAAGTTAATAGATTCAGCAGAGGTACTTAATATTGTCTTTGCCTCAGTCTTCTCCAAGGTGTCCCCAGAAGTTTGTGCCTAGAGACAGACTTCAGTGTGAAGTACTGAGAGTGGATATGTTGGAAGATACCCGAAAGAACTTGACTGGTACACATCCATTGGGACTGCCTGAAATTAACTGCATTCACAGGTGCTGAGAGTATTAGCTGCCTCTCACCCTTCAATTTGGGAGTTGAGTCAACATATTTTTGTACATGTTTTTAAGTCATAGACATGGCATTAACAATCTTAAAGATGCGTTGTGTACAGATGTTACCATGTTTGTCTCCTCTGTCTGAAGGAATAAAAGGAATCCTTCTCAAAATAAGTTAGCCCAACATTGCCTTTAAAATGTGCATTAGATGGTAGAAATGCGAGATCTAAATCACAGATTGCTTCTTAGGAAAAGGGAAAAGTGATTACCTATGAAAAGGCTGAAGTGTTACCTTTTTTTTTCCCTTCCTTTTGTCTTTAAACCATTTCCATTGAAGAAAAGTGCCACTTCTCACTTTTGAAGACTGGTTGTTACTGTAACCTACGATAACCAGGTGTAATTCAACTTCTTCAAACTGAGAGAAAGGAACAGCTGCTATGGATAGTTTGTCCTTTTAAAGAACATTTCTTTAAAGTTTTGTCATACTAGCTGAAATCAGTATGAGACAGGTTAACAGGAGGATACCTGGTAAGGTGGCTAAAAGGCTGACAATAGCGTTTTATTGGTTTTCTTTTCTGTAGGTACCTTCATATAAATAATATACAGTGTACAGAAAGTTAACTGTATATATGCCTAAAGTAGTTCTTGAGAACTTTTTGTGCTTCTTTTGTGATTCTCAGAGTTTATATGTCAGCTTTCTATATGTCCTGAAAGGGAACAAATGAAAAAGTCATCAATTAGCCAGCTCTCCCTATCTAAGAATCAGTTAGTTACTTGAGTTATTTGGTTGTAATTGATACTAAACTATTGTTTAGTATCAAGATAAATATATTTTCCCCCAAAATCAAGTCACAAAAGGATTTGTATGTAGATGAAAAAATGTCAGACTGGCAGATTTTAAGTGGAGGTGAAGTAAAAGATAATGGAATTGCTTACTGGTGGTTTGGTTGGTTGTTTTTGTTAATTCCTAGTTAGCATAGTACTTTTGAAGTTTTTGAAGTCTGAAGGTTGGAATTTTCAAAGAAACGGCCATCTCTCACAAGAGGAGCCTGGGATTTTAGTTCCAATGAAAAATGAGAGTTTTATTGAGATGGGACCTTGAAAAATTGCTCTCACTTCTGTCATAATATATAACAGGAAAAAACATGAAAACAAAGCTACTGTCTTTGAAAGTGACTTTCAAAGGGTTTGAAACTACAAATAACAAAACTGTGGTGTTAATTCATAGTGACTCCATAATGGGCATAACTGTACTGCCTCATGCCTTGGTTTTCTTACACTTTTCATGTTTAAAGTTATTTTAAATTCACCTTTTCTTGCTGTCTTGCACTGCGTCTTCTATAAATATGCATTTTCTCTCTTGTATAACTGAATTATTCGATGTTTTGACTAACTGTTTCAAGTAGCTTTTTTTAATAGGCTTTAAAAGCTTGAATCTTAAATGCTCCTTTGAAGTAAACTATAATTTAAAAACCCAGATTGGGGTATTTGTGCTGGTAAATTTTCACAAATTTACATAGCACGTTTACGCAATGAATAATTTTGGCTACTGTATCAGCAAGAAGGGAATGTGATAAATTCCATATGATCTTAAAAATGCAGATACTCAGAAATTGAGTGTAAAATATTATAGGCTTTTTCATGGTCAAAAATATGATGTTGATGAAAAGCTCATCATGAGCCTGCAATGTGTGCTTGCAGCCCAGAAATCCGTTTAATGGGCTGCATTGAAAGAGGTGTGTCAGCAGGTTAAAGGAGGTGATTTTCCCCCTCCACTGTGCCCTTGTGAGACCCCACCAGGAGTGCCCTGTATGTTCCTGGTTTTCCCAGCATGAGAAGGACATGGTGTTCCTGGACCAAGTCTGGAGGCGGGCCCTGAGGGGACTCTGGACCACCTTACCTACAGAGACAGATTGAGCAAGTTGTGGCAGTCCGGCCTGAGGAAGAGAAAGTTGTGTGGAGACCTCATAGCAACCTTCCGGGATCTGATCAGGGCCTACAGGGGAACCAGAGTGGGACTCCTTGTCAGGAACTCTGGTGATAGGACAAGGAGGAGTGGTTACAAGTTGAAAGAGGGGAAATTTAGGTTAGAGATTAGGAGGAAATTCTTTACTATGGGGATGAGGAGACATTGGAACTGGTTGCCCAGGGAGTGGGCAGATCCTGGCAGTGTTCAAGTCCAGGTTGGATAAGGCCTTGAGCAACCTGATCTAGAAGGGAGAGCTCCCTGCCCATGGAAGGGTAGTTGGAAGTAGATGACCTTTCAGATCCTTCCTAACCCAAACCATTTGATGATTCTATTTTTATTCAGCTGAACTTTTGTACATCAATATGTGTATTTCAGTAGCTAAGGTATTTGTATAACAAGTTTTTTCTTTCCCTTTTTTCATGTTTTACTCTTTCAGTAATGCTTCCAAAAAACTCGAGCTTTCAAAATATGTTCAGAAGATTGAGCTGATTAATTTCTTACTTGAAACCAAAAGCTGAAGTTAAATATGTCACAAATGAATACCGAAAGATACTTTTTTCCTAATTTTAAAATTTGCCATTAGATAACTTCTGAAGTTTTATTAATGACAAAATAATATATTACATATTCTTTGTATTGTATTCTGCAATGGATGATGGGAACTTAAAGCATTGGCAATGTTAGATTTTTTTCATCTCTTCCATGGAAAACCTGCAACTTTGTAGTGTGGTATTAGAAATATGCAAATAGAATTTATCACAGAATATATGAACTATTAAAATTTTTGTTCACATATTAAATACCTTTAGCTACAGAGGAAAAAAATACTGAGGAGAAGCCCTACAGTTACTTGTCTGCAAGTTATAAATACCTTATTACACTTAAAAAGTTTTATGTGTTGATAGTGAACTATAGTCTCCTATAGTTTTGAATTTTTTCATTATTCAAGGAAAAATTAAAAATTAAGTTTCTCTACCTAGCCTTTGGCAATGAATGGTGACTCATTTGTTGGGTACACCAGGTGTGTAGCCTGATATTTGTCGAGAAACAAATTCATTTCCTACTTCATTCACATGTGAATTTTGCTATTTCCTTACATCAATGTTATTAACAGGACATGATAGTTTTCATACAATTTCAAGGATTTCAAGGAATTTGATGGTAATAAACTTCTGATACATCTAAATGCCTATAAGATATTTTTATACAATTTTAGGGAATTTAATTTATTTAAATTTTAATTATTCACTTTTTAGTTATAGAAATATTTTGATAACCTCAATATTTGAGGCATCATTGCTGAAAGGGAAATATATGCGTTTTCTTATTTCTTAGTCTGTATGTAAATGGAAAACTAATATACTCTTGGCAGTAGATTAGGGATGATATTCTAAGAGAAGGCTTTTATTTTAAATTATTAATGAATCATGGAATATTTGCTTTACTGAGAACGAGTGATTGCATCTGTGAGTAGCATAATACCAAAGAAGGTCTAAGGCTGTTGCCACCATCTGAAATTCTGTTATTGATATTGCTGTAATATTTATATTTCCAATCTTGCCTCAAAACACTCTGGGGAGAGTAGTCATACAAAGCTTGGTAAGGACTGATATGCTCTTAGGGAACTCCAGCAAGGTTTATGTAGATGTTGAAGTCTTCTTTGAGTAAGCTGCCTTGCTACTGTGTTTACTAGATACACCTTTGCAGTTTGCTGACTAACTTCTATGGTAGGGCTCATGGTAAAAGGCAGACCCTTCCTCATTTGCATTCTTTTCAGTGAGCACTTTCAGAAATTTTCTGGTATGCTGTTTCTTCTCCTGAAGAAGCTATTCCTTGCACTGAATTAGCAGTGCATAATAAGAGCAGATTTAACAAGCATTCTCAAAAATTAATCTGATCTATGTATCTCTGATTCTTAGTTCATATACATGGTATTGTGAATTCTTGTGAAAGGTTAAAACAATGAATGCATAGTTGCTTTTCTTAGAAACTTCTACGTAGAAAACAACGTTTAATCAGTTTGGCAGTTAAATTGGGAAGGTTGCAAAGGTTTGATTCAGGTTCTTCCTTCTGCATCCAGCAGCTGAGGTAAGGAAAACTTCTTAGAGTAAAGAAAAGGTGGCCACCTAAAATTTGAAATACACCTTTTTTCCTGGTATTTCACATTTTTCATACATGTATATATACCTACCTATATGTATTTGCTTAGATTGCAATAAATGTATGTGTGTATGTATGGGAACTTCCATATATCTGTATATATAGATAACTTGCATAGCAGATTTTAATTATTTCTTCTTAATGCATTTCATTTGCTTTCTTTGCAGAATTTGGAAACCGATTTAGCAGAGACAAGAGAACAAAAAGTTTGCAGAGTATATGCAGTAACTTGTCATCTCAGGCAGATGTGAAACAGGAAGAACTTTTCCAAAAGGATTGTGATGTGGTTGGAGTTAAGTAAGTATTTCATAATAACTTAAAGTCTCAATCCTCTCAAAAAGGCTATTGTTCCAGTTAAAAAGCAGTATCATGCATTGAAGATACTTTTGTGTAACAGTGTGTTTTACCATTCTGTTCACAAGATGTAAGGCTTTTGGAATCTGCAGGTTTATGTAGACTCTTCCTGATACATTTTGACTCTTGTATATCTTAGCTGGTTTTGAGTAGTGATAGACTTGAGAAATTATACTTCTGTAATTTGCAATGTGTCAGAGAACTACCAGTCTTGACTGAAGGTAATAAAGTAACAATATGATTAGGGACATGAATATTAATTAGAGAGGCTAAACACCCTAAACTTGAAAAAGCTTTAAGCCTAAGTGTAACTTCTTAATTAGATTCAAATCTGACAAGTCAGCAAAAGTCTACATAGGCCTGTTCTAAAGGTTTAAAGTGCAGTGATTTAAGCTTTATCTTAGGCCTCACACACTATTTCTTTACACTGAATCTGTAAGATTAGTGCTGCATTATTTGTGTCTTGGAAAAGAACTAAAGGACAGAATGAATTATATAAATTGAAAAGATTACTGAATTCCCCAGAATTAAGGTAATATCAGAAGATAATTGGTAACTCTAAGTCAGTTGTCAGAAAATTGTCCATGTTTTACTTCTTAACTGCAGAGGCACACACATTGTTTCATTCCTATGTTAGATTAGTAATATTCCCTTCAATATTCCTTTAAATGGTGGTTTTGCCTGAAGGGCTGCAGTTGGGAAGTAGAAATCATTGGTATGGATACTCCTCTTTACTTTCCAAGCACAAAAAAATCTTTCTGTAGGGAGTCAATATCTAAGTCTTTTCTTTTTAAACCAAAAACCAAGAAATATTATTTTTGATGCATCTGAACTAAATTGTCATCTTGAAATCTTGTCATGTTGAAATCTCTGCAAGAAAGATGATGTCTTTGCAAGAAAAATGATTTTCATGTTTAGAAGAAATTATACCAGTTGGGTTTTTGGGTTTTAAAAGTCAATAAACATGCATAAGCTTATTGGGAGATTGTATTGAAAGAGGCAGTCAATAGAATTTGTGAAATTCAGCAGTGGACTAATAGAATTTATTTCCTGAAATTATTCTCAGAAAAATACGTATGTGTGAGGACTGGGGACAATAAAGAAGGCATTTTAGAGTCTGGTAGTCAAGTTTGCAAAGTTACTGCTTGCTGGTTTCAGCTTCAGATATTGCAATCTGAGTCGGCCAAATCTTTGAACTTCAAATTTCTCAAAATGAATTCTTTGATATTCTTTGGAAAACAACCCCTTAGAATTTGGCACAAGCACCTCATTAAAATATGGAAGTAAAATAAAGACATTTTTGAACATAAGATCTGAATATGAGGTAATAAAGAGATGAAGACTACACTTATTTTAAAGTGAAGTTGTCTTCTGTGTTTTCCATATAACGAATCCTCTAGATTTATGGGAAACTATTTGGTAAATCAGTCATATGGGGGGGTTTTGTGTGCTCTAATGTTTTCCTTACTAGATAGTTAGTGGTATTGCAATAAGTAATAGTATTTTTGGATATCACCAGTATTTGAGTTATGCTTCACATGTCTGTATGTATGTGTTTGATCAGTATCATTATAATTAGTTGTCTGCTAATCTTTCTCAATGAACTTCAGCTATAAATTTCTTGTTGACATTTCTGTTATGAAGAAAGAAGGCTTAAGCTTATATTATGTAAAATTCACAGTTTCAGTAGTTAGCAATACATACCAAGAATTGCAAATATTTTGTACTTTTATAGTACAGAATATTGAAATTTCTCCTTATCTTCTGAGATGTCAGTATGTAGAGAAAATTGCTTTTCTGTTATTTCTCAATTAAAAATGGCATCAAAATTAAACAAGTCTTTGTAAAAAGAAGACAAACTCTTATTTAAATTAAAGTAACAACTCCCCAGTTAAAGGAAAAAATCTGAGGAGAAAATGAATTCTTTCCATCTTCTCATTTTCACACGCCAAAGTCTTGCGACTCTGTTGACTTAATGATTAAAGCATTTAATTCTTCCTGTTTATGGTAATGTTGTTGGGGTTTTTTTAAATCCATTTAATAGTTATTCTTATGAAAGTATCACATTGAATGCCTGGTTGTCATTTGATGCTGGCAGAAAATTCTCGGACAAATAGTGTGGAAAATACCCCATCCTCCTTAGTATCTTCAGTTTCCCATAATCAATTTCAAACTTCAGAGCTAAAAAAGGCAATCTGACTTGCAAATGCGTCTGCTCTCCCCAGTGTTCTGTCTCACTGTTTGCTGCCTTCCTACCTTCCCCACCCTCTCATTCCATGAAAACAGAGCAGGAACACAATTGAAATTATTAGAAACAAGCTCTAGAAGCAGAAAGAAAGAAAAAAAGTCAACTGGCTTCCTTCATTTGGTGTCTTCTTTCAGATACAGCATAGGCAGATTCAGAAAAATATGAATGTCTGAATATGATTCAGAAAAATGAATATGATTCAGAAAAATATGAATGTCTGCTGACACCTTGGTAATACTGTCCGAAATTTTTCCATTATGTGCTAAGTCCAATTGCAGAAGCAAGTCTCCAAGGGAATGTGTACATACTGGGCTAGTGCTCTGTTTCTTGTGCATTCACCACTTTCTGTGTTGTGCATATCTGTCAGCTTGTTGGAAGAGTTTTTTTTTAGTTTAACAGTAAATATGTCTGTAGACATCAAGAGAATTGTTTTCTTCAGGAAATTAATAGATATCAAACTTTGAAGAAATACTCCAGTGCAACTCTAGTTCTACCGAATAACAAGGTGGTTTTGAAAACGCTGCCATATGGCAGTAAAAGTCTGCTACATACTTTTGAGGTGTGGAAGATAAATTTTCTAGGACCAGTGACCAAACAGTATTTACAGGATACATCCTGTATAGTGACTGTCTTCAAGAAGCCATTACCTTTCTTTTTTGGCCTAATTTTTGCAAAGCACTCTTCACCTTACTGGGTTTCATTTCAAACTTCCCAATTACCTGTGACATGTTTTCTTGTTATATTTTTGATGTTTTAATTTGGTACAGATTTTCTGTATCTCTTTGGAGTCCATGGTAACCTTTCCATTTTCATGTTAACAAGCTTGGTGACTTTTGCTTTAAAATTGTGCTAAACAACAGGGCCTAGAACTTTGTGGTCTGACACAGCTCTGGTGGAGCTCTGAACATCAAACTGGAGAAGTTTGATTGACTCACTGAGGCTTGAGCCTTGCTGTCACAAGTATCCAGGAAATATTAAACTGTTTGCAAATAGAGTGAAATCTATTCTAAAATGAATTTGAATTTCTTGCCCCAGTGTTTTTAGTGGAAATGTGGGCCATGACTTCATTCCTTTGATTCTTACCTTGTCCAACTCTATCCCTGATGATTTTACAACTATTTTTTTCTGTAATAATGTTTCTATTTTTACTCCCCCACCATGTGTGCCCCCACCCTGCCCACCACCCCTTCCAACGCATTCCAACACAGTTACTATTAATTTGTGTGTTGTAAATTATGAGGCAGTCAGATTTTTACTCAGGTCTTGTTTTGCTGCTCTTGTATTTTTCAGATTATTCTTTGCTGTGTGCTACAAACCATTTTGTAGTATTTACGCCATTTCTATGAGAAGTCATAATTTGTAGCACCTGTCACTGTGTTGTATTTTTAAACTACAGGTAGTGGGATCTAGAGATTTCTTGATTTACCCCAAAGGATCTTGTATTCCCTTGGTAAAAAGGACAGCTGAGATGCTCAAAGTCCCAGTATATTCACCAGAATTGTGGTGGTGAAACAAAGCTAAGAACATCACCTGAAGTGATGTATATGTTTTTAATTCTGTTTGTAGCACAGCATGTTCCATAGCTTGTGGAATGACAGTACTTATTCATTTCATTTACACCTCTTGGAAGCCACAGGTTACTCTAAAACCCTTGATCGGGGCATATAAGGCCCCTTGCCCCTGCAGGGATGGAAAGGTTTTATTTAATATTATGTTTTAGGGATAGAAGGAAATGTTTGTGAGCACCAAAGCTGTCTCTGCTCTAAGCAACAGTAGTGACTTAAATATTGTTACTGGTTGGATAAGGTATCAAATGTTTGAGTCTTGCTGCTGTCTGTTTTGTGGTGTCTTCATGTAGCATCAACCTGAAAGCAAAGTTTACTAAGGTTACTATACCAACAATCTTACTTCAGGGACTGAAATAATTTAGTAATGCTCTTCTATTTTGATGTGAGAAAGATCCGACTGTTTTTCATAGCACACACTTTCGTGTTGCTTGAAGTGTGCAGGCCACTTACTGTAAAGTTTTTCATTTCCCATTCTATTCATTTTAAGATAGGAGGTTAGAGACAGAGAGGTGTTTTTTTATTTCTCAGTACTACCTGCTGACTTTACTCTTAAAAAGGTTAAAAGCTCTCAGTGTATCATAGTGTGTTAGTTTATGGGAAGTTTGGGGTGATGGAAAAAAGTAGACTTAAGTGTTGCAGTTTGGGTCTTAGCTGACAGTGCTGTTTCTTCAATTACTGTTGCTCGTGACTACTTTTTTCTTAAAATTGTGTTTCTTTAAAGTGTGAGGTATGTTGAAACACTTTATCACCATGTGCTTGTATTTGTATATATATATGTATGTTCATGTTTACATATAATTTATATATTTTATATGTAGATGTATTTATTTTTATATATCTGTATAAATGTATAGATGCCTGTATAGGTGTGTGTGTGTATAATGGCTCTGATATGTTAAATGCCACTCATTATACTTGTTACATTCAATTAGTAATTTTTGGTTCTTTCTTCTGTTACATGCTCACCTAAGACAAAAAGTTTTCTGAGGACTTGACATAGTTATCCTGCTGCAGTGATAGAGTAAGGTGACTGTCTTATGGAGTGTTTCTTGTTTGCTGCTTAGAGTAAGCATGTTAATAAATATTTTGAGGTTGATTTTGAATACTCTGAGCACAGGACAAGCAAATTAGTAACAGAATCACAGAGATCACTCAGTGGCTGAAACTGGCAGACACCTCTGGAGATGGTGTAGTATGCTCCTCCAGCAGATCTGGCCCTCTGCTGCAGCAGTATCAGCTACAGCAGGCTGCCCAGTACTGTGTCCAATCTGAGTATGTCCAGAATGGAGACTCTGCAACCTCTCTGCGTAGGCTCTTCCAGTGTTTGGCCTCTTTCAATGGATAAAAATATTTTTACTGTGTTTAGCTGGAATTTCATCTTGTTTTTATTGGTGCTTATTGCCTCTTTTCCTGTCACTGAGCACCACTTACATCTGCGTCTTCTTTATAGATTGCCATCAGGTATTTATAGATGTTGATAGTTCAATTGTCCCTGAACTTTGCTTTCTCCAGGCTGAGCAGACCCAGCTTTCTAGCCTCTCTATGTATTCTATGCTGCTCTCTATGCAGCAGATGCTGCAATACTTAAATTATCTTTGTGGCCCTTCATTGGCTCTCTCCAGCCATGTCCATGTTTCTCTTGTACTGGGGAGCCCAGAAACTGACACAGCACCAAGATGTGCTTTAAAACTTCTGACTAGAGGGGAAATATCACCTCCCTTGTCTTGCTGGCAGCAATATCCTCTTCAAAGCTCAGGATGTCATTGGCATTTGGCACAAGGCCACATTGCTATCTGATGGCCATTCAGGTGTCCACCAGGATCGCCAGGGCATTTTCTGATAAGGTGCTTTCCAGCTTGTCTGTTCCCAAATTGTGCTTTTACACAGGAGTTTTAACCCCAAGAGCAGCAATTTGCACTTGTCTAAGTTGAACTTCATGAGGTTCCTGTCCAACCTTTTGTCTGGTCTGTAAAGGTTCCTCTCCATGGCCAAGCATCTTTTGTGCAATCCCCCTTTTTTGTGTCATCAGCACAGTTGCTGTGGTGCATTCTGTCTCATTGTCTGGGTCATTAATGAAGATGTTGAAAAGTGATGGCCCTAAAGTTAGCCCCTAGGCTACTCCTGTAATGTGTGGCCTTGTGCCTAATTTTGCTTACAGCTCTTCAAACCCAGTAGTTCTACCAGTTCAAGTGGTGGACAGTTTTGAGCAGACAGTTTTACTGTCTGCATATCTAGCCTATACCTCATCAGTCTGTCTATCAAATTTTATGGGACACTATGTCAATAGTGTTACTGCAATCAAAAAGAAGAACATCCAGTGCTCACCCCTTATGCAATAAGAATTCCTTCAGAGAAGGGCATTGCCTCAAAGAAGGCTGCCAGGCCAGCTGGTTAGAGCATGGTGCTAATAACATCAAGGTTGTGGGTTCAGTTCCTGTAAAAGCCATTTACTTAAAGAGTTTTACTTGATGGTCATTGTGATTCCTGTCCAACTCAGAATATTGTATGAATCTGTAAATATTATTTCCTCTTATGACTCCTAGTGATCATCTTCTCCACTACATGGTCCATCACCTTCCCAGGGACTAAGACGCAATTGACTGCTCTAGTTTCCCAGAACCTTCTTTTTGAACATAGGCCTTCCTAAAGAACCTGTATACATGCATGGCAGTGCTTCAGTCATGTGAGTTGTCCCACCTTGTCTCTGTGATCCCACTGAGTCCAGCAGGTGCAGACAGATCTCTCATTCCTCCTGTTGTCCTCCATGAAGATGTGCTGTGTCCATTTGAACAGCAGCTTCAGGTAGGCACCCAGTTGAGCTAATTTCCCAGTGTGTGGAAAATCACACTGTAAAACACCAGTTTCTACAAAGGAGACAAAGGAGTCTTGGGTTTTTGGAAGACATGGCCTCCTTTATCCTAAATTCCTGACTGCATGTTGCCCCCCTCCTCCTTTTCCCACTGGCTGAGGTTCTAGGAAGATAAAGCCTTCCTGAATCACCTACTACATTCCCCCTGTAAGCTGTATCCCCCTCACCCCCATCATGCATTGCATGGCTGTGAAAACTAGCTTTAAGCCCATCCTGGCTGGAGAAGTTAATATTCGTAAGTCTAATAAGCCTGCACATTTTGCCCTGAAGTTCAGCATGGACTTGGTTCTGCAACAAACTTGAGTGGCTTGAAGATCCCCACACCCATTTCTCCAGAACTTCACTGGTTCTTTCCAAATGAGTTTTTGTGAAGATATTATCACCCATTTCTCCTCTCACCAGGAAGACTCTTATGAACCGCCCTCATACTGTCAGCAGCCCGTTATTTATGTGCTTAAAGTGAACATCCTCCCTGAACATTCTGCTGCTCATCACAAGGTCTTTTCTGTCTGTATCTACCTGTCTCATTTTGCCTGCCAGTCCAGGCCACAGCTCCCTCACTTGCCGTTTCATCAACATCTTTGATCCCTTCCGTTCCTAATTTAAAACTCCCCTCATTGATTGGGCCCATTTGCTATCGAAGTGCTTATTTATGCATAATTGTTTGTATTGCACATTGGTACTGAATAGTGCCTGGTAAAGGTTAGCGTAATTTCAATATTGGCCTGTAAAAGTGAAATAAAAGAAGGCTCCCCCATTGATTTGCAATGTAAAAATAGTGCCTCATTCACTAAAGACAAAAGCAAGTAAAAGTACAAGTAGGAATAAATAAAGTTTGATTTCTAGAATGTATTGTAATGGAACTGTGACTGAATTTTCTTACACTTAAAAAGCCTTGAATTTAACATAAACAAATGTGTTAATGTGTTCTGACTGTGCTGTGGTTCTTGTGTGGCTGGCTGCAAGATTTAGTTTCCCCCTCCCACCGCCTTCCCTTAAGGATATAACTGGAAGTCTGATAAAGTCAACAAAAAAGATTCCCATTGACCTGAATACACTTTGTGGGCAGACCATTAGAGAACACATAATACTGCATTCTCGGGTGACAGACGCAGATAACTGCATTGATGTTTGCATACAAATTAAAGAGTAGCAATATAGCAGACTGGTCTTGAGGGTTCAACATTATCCCATGTTTTTCCCTTCCACAACAAAATGAAGATTTGATTGGAGAACCTGTGCAAAATTAATATAATCTGTGTTTCAACTGCAGTGAAAAGATGTGTTATTTTCAATTATATACATGCAGTCAGGGAAATTAAAGAAGAGCTTGTTTGGAAGCCTGTTGTAGAGCTGTCAGAAAGCCCTGGTATATCACTTGTCTGTAGTTCTGCTGCTATTCTTCTGAACAGAATTAAATTAGTACATATGCAATACATACTGCAGTTGCACTTTCATACATCAGGAGTCTTTAGTGTATCTCTACCTTTGTTAATTTTGGGGAACTACTTTACAATTCATGCAGAACAGCAGGACTTAGTGTTAAGTCCGAGTAAGCATGGTTAGTGTGTCCTTAAGTGTTATACTTTGTTGCTCTCATAACAGGCTTTGTGAAATGGTTCTTTTTAACAATAAAACTATCTGACTGTTGTATTGCACATGCAGTTTAAATTCATATGTAATTATTCATATGTAATTATCTGTATTGAATAATCATTCAGTCACAAATTCTAATTAGTGGCACAGGTTTTAGGAAAAACTTCTGTGAATTTCCCTTAAAATAGTTTATTTGTGATTCTGTTTTCCCTGGAAGAAGACAATGAAGTTGGTATTGCTGCTTACCTTTTATACATGAATCTTTACCTAGATATCTCCAGAAGCATTAGAAAAATGCAATGATAGCTCCTGTTAATGATAATTCCAGTCACAGAAATACTACATATGTGTTAGAGGTTAAAAAGACAATTCTTTGAGGAAGTAAGGAAGAAAATTAGTTGGAGTGCTAAATATATATTTTGGTATCTCTGTGTAATACTAGTTTGAAATGTGCTTGTGAATTAAAAGGGAACTAAGTAGAAAATACATAAGCAGAGATTAATAGAGTCATCGGTACTTTCAATGTATGTTGTAGAAAATATTCAAAGTCTTAATCATTGTTTATAGTAAGTGTTACTGTGCTTTTATCTTAATTTAGAAAGTCCATCGGCAGTACAGTGAAATTATTAAGAAATCTGATTATACTAGATCTATCCTATGGTTGCATTACAACACCATTCCTCTTATTGTATTTATAAGGCTTTTATTATGTTATATGATATGCACCAAAGGTTTTGCTTACTTTGTTTATGGTGCAGTATTCTGTACCTGCAGACAAAAAGTAATTTATCAGCAAACATATTCATGTTTCTAGGGAGTAGATGCATGTCAAAAAAAAAAGGTTGCTTCACACATACTCTGCAAGTTCAGGAAAGAGTTTTATCTTTTTCTGATTGTTCTAGGTAAAAAAACCCAACAACTTATTTACAGTTGATGTGTTCTGTGTATTTTACATTTTGAGACTTACTGCTAAAGAGTTAACTGAATATTGATTAGAATGAGATGAAGTGGTGGAAATTTATTTATTTTAGAGCAGTTAAAGCATTACAGGGAAATAGAAAGGCATCCCATTTTGAAAGGCAACTGTTTTTTAGATATTTCTCAAAAGTGTATGGTAAATATTTTCTATGTAACTTAGAGTGTTTGTAAGGCAATTGACAGAAAAATAAATGAAGATAGGAAGCTCATTATCTACAATAAAATTATTTGCATACAATTTTTTAACAGAGGTCATTGTTCTTTTTTTTAATTTCTCTTTGTTGCTTGTTTTGCACAGAAAGGAGCTAGAGGAGCTACAGAAACTTTACAGACAAAACATTGAAGATAGAACACAGCAGGCTGAGCTGATAAAGCAGCTAGAGGCTCTCAGTGCTGATATACAAAAAGTACTGCAAGACCATGAATATGCTCACACAGCTAAAACAACATATCAAAAAGTATGTTATTCTGCTTTATGCTCATAGGGTTCATTTTAATATCCATCTGTACAATATCAATGCACAGAGTAATCAAAGCTCTTTGTAGTGTTGCATTTTTTAGATCTCTGTTATTCTCTATTATTGCCAAAATATAATTGAGTATCTGATTTTATTGGTCTGACTGTGTACCAGCATATATGGCCCCTTGCATACATAGAATGGATCAGCCTTAAAAAATTAAGATTTAGTTTCATCTGAAGAAAAGTAGGATTGAATTGCCAAGAGTATAAATTTCTTTATCCAATTTGGTGTTAATTATGTTTTTATCTTCCTCTTTTGTAGGACAGGAGCTTTCAATTACTAAATTCTCCAGACTGATTTTCATAGTTCAGGGGAAGATGTTCTTTTCACTAAGCAAAGTATTTGTGTGAATCACAAAGAATATTAGTGGTTTAAGATACAAAAAACTCTATAAAAGCTCTATAAAAATTACCTGGAAAAATTAACTATAATATCTTTTGAAATGGTTTACTAGTTCATGAAGTTGGAACAATATGCACATTTGCAGAATGGTTTTATGTTTTTGGTGAATGTCAGGGAAAACATTCAGTCTAATGATCTGCCAAACACTCACTACTCAGAACTTCTTTCAGGTTTATGAACTTATATATATGTTTCAGTCTCTAAGAAATACAAAAAATATGTTTGCTTCTTTCTTAGAAAGATTAAGAAGGAAGAAGGCAAGGAAGAATTTCTATAAACAACTTTCACATGCCTTCTACTATCTTGGAACTGCCTTCTGAAGTTGTGTATTGCCACAATATGCAATACACTGCCTTCTGAAGTTGTGTATTGCCAAAAAACTTTTCTTCCCTTTCTCATCTTACTTAGAGTGTGCAGATTGTAATAAAATTGTGAAATTACACGTGAGTCAAACCAGTTAAACCCAGAATCAGTACTGGGTTTCCAAAGATGTGTTTATTTAGCGTTTACAGCTTGTAGTGTCCAACACATTCTTGTCTACTTGACACTGTACCATGTGATGTTGTTTGCCAAGGTAATTTGAAATAGTGTGGAATGCCAGCATAAAGAGCTGTTGCATATAAAAAAGGGTGGCAAAAATCCCAAACACCCTAGAAAACTCTACAGTTTATTTGACTGCAGTGATGATACAGTGATGATACAATGATGATATTAAATAATTTCTGCATTGCAGTAGTAGCTCAGTCAATCTACAAGTAGACCTTCTGTCAAAGTTGTTCAGAACATGTACAAGGCAGGAGGAATTTCTCTGTCTAGAGCAAGATAGAGTAAATTCTAGAATTAAAAAAAAAAAGAGAATTGAGGGTTCAGGAGTTGCTAGTTTTTTTTATTTTCCATTCTCTAGTCAATGCTTCTGAAGGTGTTAAATGAATCCTTTGAGTCACTCAAATAAAAAAAAAAAAAAAGGGAAGACAGTATGACATGTCTTCTCTGGTGGCTATAAAACCATATTCTTCCAGACAAGTCCTACAACAACACAATATGAAAGAAAATAAAACTGGATTTTCATGAGACTGTTTTAAAGCATGAAAAAACTTTTTATAAAGGTTGCTTTACCTTGCACAGTGGAGATTTTGCCAGTATTTCTTCAGTATGGGAAAGAGTTTCACCTGTCCTGTGAAAAATACTTGCTTAAGTAATATGTAAAATTGATGGTTATATTAATATAGCTATAGGGTCAAGCCACTTCTAATCTGAGCTTGGTTCAATATTTAGGATTTCTTCAGAAAGATGATTCACAGTTCTTAGTCAGTCTAGACTTAAAATTTCTGCCTATCTTACCTTACAAGATTAGTGTGGTTTAGAAGGTAAACCCTAATTTTTGATAACTGCCAAATAGTCCTAGTTTACAAAAGACTCTAAAATTTGCTGGTTTGGAGATGTTGAATTCAATATTTTTTAACATGGAGGAGTGAACTCTCTTAAACTAGCAAAAGCCAACTCATATCTGCTAAAAAATTACTATTATGGAACTGCTAAGTCATCTTTTTGTAAAATATCAAACCTGAAAAAAATACGGAAAAAAGAGAAAAAACAGTGGAAAAAGGAGTAAGTGAAGTTCCTGAGTCACAGTGGAATAGAATTAATGTTTGTGGCAAGTTGAGTTAAGAGAACTTCGGAAGGTGAAAGGAATTAATTTATTGTGACAGTCCTATTCTGTATTTCTGATCATATTCTGATCATGTATAAAACAGCCAATTGTAATTGCATCAAGTAACGTGGATTTTTCAAATCACAAGATATGTCTACCAAAGTCACAGCAGGCTTTTGAAAAACTCAGCATCTATAGAAATAATATAAATGTCTATTTTTTGCTTCAATGAGAGAGGCACGAACTATTGCAGACAAATCTGTGTTCTGTTTGTCTTCCCTGCATTAATAATATGCAGTCTGCAACAGCTAGATAAGGATGTGTCAGCTATTCCATAAATACAGTCACAAAGGAATATTTTCCTACTTCTTCAAATGGCATTGAGCCTATCAGCGTGTACATCCTATGATATATTGTCCCTTACAGCAAGATCAATGACCTCTCTGTTAGTGGTCAGATAGGCACTATGTGCTGGAGCTCAGGCTGTTTGGTTGGCTCACATATTCAAAGTTCAATGGTTAACAGGGTACCATTGAGAAAAACAGGTTTTTGTGTTGATGTTGATGTGCAGTATGAAACAGGAGACTGAAAAAAGAAAAAGTATTCATGATAAATCTGAGGTCATTCATTTGCTTTGAATGATGTATAAATGTATTGAGGACCACAGATTTTCAAGTCTAGCTGTAGTGAGCAGCATGTTGAGGTCTGTAACCTGTTTTATCAAGTTGGGTTTACTTTACATACCTTTTTTCTCTAAGTACAAATTTTAAGGATGCTGTGTTCTACAATAACTCCTTTACATTAGAGCTTTTATGGAAATAAATTGATGTCTATTTCATATTGCAGCTGTAGTTCATATTCTCAAGGATAGAGAATATTTTTCTAAAATGTGTAGCATCTGCTTTAGTGGTCCCAAATGCTCTGGGGACTTCATTCCTGTGCTGGATTTAATGAGACTCAATAGATTTGTCCTCATCAACAATTTCAAGGTGGAGAGATTTCAATCAATACTAGGGATGATAAGACAAGAAAAGATTCTGAAGTCCTTGGCCAGTTTATCACAGTTTTCTGAAATTTACAATTTAAGGCCTTTGTTTTTACAATGCTTTACTTTCACTTGATCTGATGTGGCCTTTAGGATCCATGTTAATCATACTGATCAAAAGTCGTTCAGTGGAAGGCCTTTTTAGTGGAGTGGAAATAGCATTGTCATTCAACAGGAAATGATAATTTATGTCCTGGACCTCAGCTCTCAGATAGATAATACTATCAATAGTGGTAGTGTGCATGTCTGTGGATGAAGAAAAGCATTCTGCAGTAATCTAATGAGACTATTTAGATATAGTAATTAGAAAGCACAGTAAGAGTTTCCAGTTATGAGGCATCACAGAAAACTGCATCAAGGTCATCAGCAAGTAGACAAAAGTAGGAACATGACAGATACATTTTCAGATGTTGTTCTGTACCTGCATTTGCCTTTGCTAGTCTTTCTCATGGTGTCTTGTGCAAGTAGTTTGCTTTCTTCAAGCCCACGAAATTGTCATCAGAACATCAAGTTATTGTGTTGATCATAATACGGTTGTTTTACATTTCCAGTATTTTTTGTAACTGCAGCAACCTTTAAGCATAGTTAAAAATAAATGTGTTTATGTAAGCAGTATTAAATTCTGAAAATAAATGCTAAACCCCTATAAATATCTGTAAATGCTAATTGTAGTGCAGGTTCCTATTCAAATTAGAATGAAAAGCCTAAGTCCTTTCATACATTATAAGGCAGGAGAGATGCCTTATACAACATGTCCAGTCAAATATGCTAAAGCCCACATAAGTAATAAGTGTATTGTCATTTTAATGTCTACTATGGGAAGGTTTTGAGGAACTCAGATCTTTAACAGGTCCCCACACTTGAGTTCAAGCTCAGATAGTGTTCTCTATAGTTGGAAAATGTGTTAATTAAGGTAGTCTTTGTTTCTTGCATGCCAAACATCAGTACACTTGGTCACATTCTAGCAAATAGATTTTGGCATCAAATGTGCCTATAGGTTGAAGTTGAAGAGTCTCTTACGGTGATATTAAATTGTGCACTCACAGGCAATGGTTTTCATGCTTGAAGGACCCTGTACTGGTATTAGACCACAGCAGTTCCGGTGTGTAATTGTGTAGACTGATACCTGCAGAATATTCAAGTATTTGTGAGGGGAAAAGTGAATATAGATAAAATGAAAGTAATATCATGAATATGCTATATATAGTCTGTCTGGACTGTCTCTTCACCTTCACCCTTGAGTTTCTTCAGCTGATTTCTCCCCTTATTCTTTTCAAATTCTCATAAAAAGCATGGGTTGTAACTTGGATTTCTGCAATGGTGCTGTAATAATTTTTATTATAGTTTTACTTTGTCTTAATTTAGACTAACTTTTAAAAATTTATGTCATTACTATATGTTCAATATTACTGTATGTTTGGATTCAGAAACAGCTGGATATAGCAATTAGTACTATGATTTAGTTGACACAATGGCTTTGGTCAAAGGTTGAACTTGAATGATCTTCAAGGTCATTTCAGGCTTAGTGATTCTATGATTCTATTTACTTGGGTCTCTGTAATATACTTTTTTAGAGTGTGAGCATTTTGATAAAACATTTAATGTAGGATAGTACTTGTTTTATACACAGTACATATAATGTGGTTACTGTTACCTTTTTTAGATGGATCTACCTTAGCGTTAGTTCCTCAACTGGAACATTGAAGAAAGTCTCCCAAATGACCCTACTCTCATACTTCAGTTGATACCATAGAAAAGTAATGACAGTATGAACTAAATACCTTTTAGATCATGAAATTGAAAAATGTACCTTGGCTGTTAGCTGGCATTTAGTGCATA